GTAATTTGTCAACGTATTGTGACGTGGAATCTACGTGGAAAATACATTGGATTTGCAAAAAGTCATCAATGTAAACTGTTGTTTTGAGGGTGAAATTTCAACCACAGGATTATGTCTTCCTGGACAACATAGACAAACCTTGTATAAAATATGTTGAATTTATACCTTTGAAACAACATCAGATCTTCAATGTTATATCCACTATTAGGAAAAAAACAATAGGCTGGGCAGCACCTCCTACTGGAGAGTTGATATATCTACAGCTATCCATTTGGTCTCCCATCCAGAGTTTTAACCAGGCCCAGCCCAACTTTGATATTTATCACTGACTACTACCAATGTGCTATCGTGAGAATGATTATTGAGAGGTCACTTGTTAACTAAATAGATGTACTGTTGCTATTGAAGTCATTCCAAAGGGTAGATTTAACAGAGAAAATGAAATTGAACCATACTAAGTAGTGCTGAGCGATTTAATAGAAATGTTGGTTATTTTTCGGTTTTTAAACAACTAATTGACCAACTATTGATTCAATTATTTGAATTCCATTTTGTTCGTTTTTTTCTGTAACCTCAATGTGCACATTGCACAGTTTATATAGAGATAAATCAGATCCAGCCTGAACTGTGCGATGTAGTAGGGAGATGTAGTTTCCATCAGGCCAATATTCTACATAGTTTAGCGCATAAAACGTGGTAATTAACCACAATGACCATAATCCATTGCGCACCTACTTGTCCGGCTGTGTTTCTTTTACACCTGTTATAGAAGAGACAGAAAAATGCGCGATTGTGAGGTGATATAGAGAGCAGCCGTAGCTTCATGAGGTATCTACCTGAAAATACATGATCTAAGTGATAGTTGGTATTCAGAGTCATTCAAGTATGCCTTATTTACTTTAAAGAACTACTAAAATAGTGATTTTGTCAGACAGCTTAGGCAGCAGCTCTATAGAGATGAGATGATGACTTGGAATGAAATAATAGTCATCAAATAAAAACAAAGGTAATATACACAACAACTAAAATATTTGATTAAAGTAATAAATTATGGTTAATAAGTGAATAGCAGTAATGGGCAGTCACTACCACCATGGGACTTTTATTAATTGTATTATTCTGTGTTGTTACAGTATTCAACCAACATAATGCATAGTGGATTTAATGTTTAAAAAATAATCGAAACCTAAATGGAAAACTGTGATTATTTGTGAAATAATTTAACCAAAATCGAACCGACCTCAAAAAATACTAATCTCTCAGCACTGAGAGCCAATTTATGCTTGATCCCAAAATGTGGTCGGAGGCTCCGTATGGATGGTCTGACGCAATTGCGCAGCCTCCGGAGGCACGCAGATGCCAAATTGAGCTCCTACCGCATCGCAGTGCGCCTCTCAAATTTGGTACAAATGCGGAGGGCTCCGTATAGCTCCGCGTTGACGTGATTGGTTGACAGTAGGTGGGGGCGGTACTTTGACAACTTCCTTCACAACAGATCTGCGCTGCTCGGCGAAGTGCAAGAAGTATGAATGCCCTGACTTCTGCAGAGGGATGTTTAAGCCTTGAGATAATTCAGTATGTGTGCAATTCAGAGGGTGAATGGGCAAGACAAACAATTTTAGTGCCTTTGAATGGGATATGCTAGTAGGTGCCAGGCACACCGGTTTGTTTCAAGAACTGCAACGCTGCTGGGTTTTTCACACTCAACAGTTTCCAATGTGTATCAAGAATTGTCCACCACCCAAAGGCCATCCAGCCAACTTCAAACATGGGGGTGGGGCAGCAACTCAATATTAGGAAGGTGTTCTTAATGTTTTGTCCACCATGTAATCATCAATGATACCATTTAGGCTTAGCATTTGCAAAGTCATCAACAGCTATTCTTTCAATTCAACCCAGGGTTAATCTAAAAATAAAACAATACATATAGGCCTAGAGCAGGGGTCGGCAACAGGCGGCCTGCGGGCCAAAACCAGCTACTGTTTTTTTGGGCCCCACAAAGTGTTTAGTAAAAACAAAAACGTCTTTTTTTAGGGTTTTAATTTTGGGTCAAAAAACACTGTCAAATCACCAGGAATTCAGCAAAACATTAGTTTAATTTAGGACATTTGTTCCCAAGTATTCCTACAAATAAAAAAAGAGACGTGATCATGTCTCAACGTAATGAAGGTATGAATTTCTTGTTATTTTCAAATACAATGTATTTTTTGCATAGTTGTGTTCAATTTGCAGTGTACAAATTATTATCATTATGTTCCGGCCCCCCGACCATCCGCTCCGACAAAAATCGGCCCTGAATCTAGTTGCCAACCCCTGGACTAGGTTTTCAAGCTTATTCCTGCCTGTCTGTCGGCCCTGTGTGTGTGTGTGTGTGTGTGTGTGTTTGTGTGTGTGTGTGTGTGTGTTGTTATTCCTGCCTGTTGCCAGGGGAGACAGTGTTTCCTATAACCTGATACAGTGAGGGAAAAAAGTATTTGATCCCCTGCTGATTTTGTACGTTTGCCCACTGACAAAGAAATGATCAGTCTATAATTTGAATGGTAGGTTTATTTGAACAGTGAGAGACAGAATAACAACAAAAAAATCCAGAAAAACACATGTCAAAAATGTTAGAAATTGATTTGCATTTTAATGAGGGAAATAAGTATTTGACCCCCTCTCAATCAGAAAGATTTCTGGCTCCCAGGTGTCTTTTATACAGGTAACGAGCTGAGATTATAAGCACACTCTTAAAGGGAGTGCTCCTAATCTCAGCTTGTTACCTGTATAAAAGACACCAGTCAACAGAAGCAATCAATCAATCAGATTCCAAACTCTCCACCATGGCCAAGACCAAAGAGCTCTCCAAGGATGTCAGGGACAAGATTGTAGACCTACACAAGGCTGGAATGGGCTATAAGACCATCGCCAAGCAGCTTGGTGAGAAGGTGACAGTTGGTGCGATTATTCGCAAATGGAAGAAACACAAAAGATCTGTCAATTTCCCTCGGCCTGGGGCTCCATGCAAGATCTCACCTCGTGGAGTTGCAATGATCATGAGACCGGTGAGGAGTCAGCCCAGAACTACACGGGAGGATCTTGTCAATGATCTCAAGGCAGCTGGGACCATAGTCACCAAGAAAACAATTGGTAACACACTACGCCGTGAAGGACTGAAATCCTGCAACCCCCGCAAGGTCCCCCTGCTCAAGAAAGCACATATACAGGCCCGTCTGAAGTTTGCCAATGAACATCTGAATGATTCAGAGGAGAACTGGGTGAAAGTGTTGTGGTCAGATGAGATCAAAATCGAGCTCTTTGGCATCAACTCAACTCGCCGTGTTTGGAGGAGGAGGAATGCAGCCTATGACCCCAAGAACACCATCCCCACTGTCAAACATGGAGGTGGAAACATTATGCTTTGGGGGTGTTTTTCTGCTAAGGGGACAGGACAACTTCACCGCATCAAAGGGACGTTGGACGGGGCCATGTACCGTCAAATCTTGGGTGAGAACCTCCTTCCCTCAGCCAGGGCATTGAAAATGGGTCGTGTATGGGTATTCCAGCATGACAATGACCCAAAACACACGGCCAAGGTAACAAAGGAGTGGCTCAAGAAGAAGCACATTATGGTCCTGGAGTGGCCTAGCCAGTCTCCAGACCTTAATCCCATATCTGTGGAGGGAGCTGAAGGTTCGAGTTGCCAAACGTCAGCCTCGAAACCTTAATGACTTGGAGAAGATCTGCAAAGAGGAGTGGGACAAAATCCCTCCTGAGATGTGTGCAAACCTGGTGGCCAACTACTAGAAACGTCTGACCTCTGTGATTGCCAACAAGGGTTGTGCCACCAAGTACTAAGTCATGTTTTGCAGAGGGGTCAAATACTTACTTCCCTCATTAAAATGCAAATCAATTTATAACATTTTTGGCATGCGTTTTTCAGGATTTTTTTGTTGTTATTCTGTCTCTCACTGTTCAAATAAACTTACCATTAAAATTATAGACTGATCATGTCTTTGTCAGTGGGAAAACGTACAAATCAGCAGGGGATCAAATACTTTTTTCCCTCACTGTAGGTTGGTGCTTGCAGGGAGGCGGCCCTGAGGGAGGAAGTGACACGTTCACTTAAAATTACTGGCAATCTTACGCCTGCTGCCCCTCTTTCGTCCCCCTGACCAAATTGGCATGGACCGTGTCGCTTGTGTTTCTGCTCTGTCTGAAGAAGCCTTTTAATCCCTATTTTATTATACCTCTCTAGTTTTCAGAAGAGCTAATTGTTATAGGAACCTAGAGACCACAAAGCATCTGCCAGCACATCCCATGCAGTCCTAAACAACACAGATGTTGTCTTTCAGATGTTTACTTATTACCATACCATTACTGCCTCTTAGACAATTGGTCATTGTGCTGTTGTGAGAAAAAAAGAGAAGTCATGAATGGGGCTGATTCATGAAGACATTGTCCAGAGGGACCATTGCTCTTGTTCATCAATGTTTGCCTATTATATTTGGTTTGTAATGTTTTGTAAAGTTGTTGTGTTGTTGTGTCCTCAGCCGGGTTTGAAATGGATTTGTCTCAGGGGGTGGGGGTTCAATAGAAGTAGACAAAAAAAGGGGGGAGTACAGAGACATGAGAGATCAAGGAGTGGCACTACCACTCCTTGTGTCTAGTTTAACCTCTACACTGCTCTCTCTCTATCATTGTCAGCATCTGCTGATTCTCTTTGTCACATAGTAAGTTATCTTGGCTGTGATGTCCAAGGCCGCTGGACTCGTTATCTTAATTGTCTCTATTAGAGTTTATTCATTCATTTGACCTGCTTTGGCATCATTAGTGCTGTCAGGTGGCTTAGTCATAGTCCCTTCCTGGCTCTCCTCCACCTCCTCCTCTTCCCCACTGGCCATGTCGGCGGATCCAGTTGTGGCGCTGACTGGCTTAGTAGGCATGGTTAAGGCGTGTTCTGGTTCAGTTAGGGCGTGTACTTCCAGTCCAGACCTAGACCCAGGACCAATCCCATAGCATCATGTGTTCCAGGAGATAGCTGCACTGTGTTCCTTAGCCTTCATACGCAGCACTGCGATACTAGAAGACTTCCTGTCTGGATCGACACTGTTTAGGTCGTATCCGTTGAGGCCTCCGCCACCGCCCATTCCTCCAGCCCCGAAGAGACTCCCCATGTGTGACTGTCCCATGTGGCCCCCATGGCCCTGTCCGCCCGGGCTGGGCACGCATAGGTAGTCAGAGACCCCTCCATGGGGGTGCGGGGTAATGCAGGAGGTGACTGATCCGTCAAAGGGCACCACACAGCCGGGGACGGGAGAGGCACTGCTGCCACCGCCCAGCCACGATGGGTTCTGGATCTACATGGAGGAACAGACAGGAGCAGGAGGTTAGGAGAACAGAAATCGTGTAACCCAAAACCAAATCTCATGCTAACTAACTTGATTTTCTTCTGGAGGCGAAAGCGGCTAACTAAAAACAGCAGATTCAGCCCCGGCCCTCTATAGAACAACTCCAACATTCCAGTTAAGTTCCCCGCTTTAACTCCACAAGAGATTACTCTTAACCCTCAATTCCGTGCTTGTTCATACTGTAGCTCTGAGCGCTATCCCATGCCTTATGTAGAATAAAAACGTTATTGTCCATCCAGGATGGACATTTTTCTTTGGCATCACCTTAAATTAAAAGGATCACATACACGTACATTCTCACATCATACACATTTAAACCAGTCAGTCCATCATATTGCATACACTAAAAACATAGAGGACATTGATACATTCACTCACAACTGACCGCTGTCCCAACTGTACTGGATAGATAAGTACATATACCGATACAATTTACTTTACATTTAGTAGTCCAACAGCATAAGGAATAAATTCATGTTTGAACTTCTTAGCCATGGGCATTCCGAAGTGCCGGCCAGAGGGAAGCCTCTCGAACTGAGGGTGTAGAGGGTGGGAGGGGTCGCCAACGACAGCCAGTGCCTTCTTTTTGGTTGCCTTGTGGAACAGACTGCTCAACTGTGCCTGTGGTCAACTAATTACTTTGCTGGCTGTGTTTACTATTCTGGTTAGTTTGCTTTTGCTCCTCACGATCAGATTGCCATACCAGACTGTCATATTGAACGTGAGGATGCTCTCCACCAAGCTGCTGTACACCCTGTCCAGAACACCATGCATTCTCTTTAAAATTCTCTTTAAAACTCAGCTTGTCATCAATTTGGGTCCCTAGGTATTTGAAACACTCAACCACCTCCACTGGTTGGTCATTCAGAGGGAGTGGTTGGGACATTGGCAAGTTGTCTTTTCCACCTTAATGTGGAGGGCACTTGACCAGCACCATTCTTGAAAGATGTTGGTCTGTTCAAAATAGCTGTCCCCATCTGACGTACCAACTTTTAAAAAAGAGTCCCATCAGAGCCACGTACTTGAAAAGGCTCACATTGTTTCCTTGGATCTTCATCTCATTAGTGTAGATAGAGAACAACAATGGTGAAAGGACACACCCCTGGGGCGCCCCTGTGTTCAGGGTCAGTTTATCAGAGAGGGCCCCATTCATGAGGACCCTCTGTGGGCGGTCAGTTAAAAGGTCCTTGATCCAATGTGCGTTGCCTCCGTTGACATTCAGGTCCAGTAGTCATTTCAGCAGTTTGTATTTGCATTGTATTGAAAGCTGAACTAAAATCAATCAATAAAATGCGTGCATATGATTTTGCATGTTGAAGGTGACCAGCCACCATGTTTACCAAGGTCAGGGTAGCATCTTCAGTCCCCCTCTGTGCCTTATAGGCAAACTATAATGGGTCCAGTTGATCTAAGAATAGGGTAAAGTGCTTACTGACAATCCTTTCCATGCGTTTGGCCAGAAGGGACGTGAGGTCCACAGGTCGAAAGTCATTTGGCCCCTGGCTTCTTAGGCACCGGTACAATGGTCGACACCTTCCAGCAGTTTGGCATTGTACAGGTGCTCAGCAGGTCGTGTAAAGACTCCATTGAGCTGGTTCGGCGCAGACTTAAGTACTTTGCCCCATAGTCCATCTGGTTCCGGTGCTTTGTGTGTTTTAATATGTGACAAGCATGAGGCCACCTCATTCTCTGTTATCTGGACAGGAGAGGATTTGGGGATGCTGTCACATATTTGTTCACATTCGTCTTTAAATTCAACGGTGTCAAATCTTCCATAAAAACAGTTAAGGTTGTTTATAAAGGATGAACAGTCTGCAATTTATTGTTCTCTCTTTTCTTTTCACTTCCCATCATTGAATTAAGCCCTTCCCATGCTTGTCTTGGATTGCCTGTACAGAACCTCTGCTCCACTTCATCCTTAAAGTCTTTTTTAGCTTTACACATTTTTGACCTGTTCTTTCTCATTAACAGCATGAGTATCCCCTTTCAAGAAAGCAAACTTCCTTTAATTGAGGCACATTTTCAAGTCCTTAGACACCCAGGGCTTGTTGTTGGGAAATACTCTTAGAGTTTTTGTGTTTATGACAGTATACTCACAGAACTTGATGTATGATGTGATGCTGTCTGTCAACTCATGGGGATCCCTGCACGAGTCAAAGAACACCTCCCAGTCTGTGACAAAAAAAAGCAGTCCTTGAGCTCCTCCCTGCTCTCCTCTGTCCATACCTGAATGGATTTCTCTACAGGTTTTTCGCGTTTCACCTGCTGCCTGTATCTCGGTAGGAGATGGATAACGTTATGGTCTGATTTCCCGATGGGTGCTCTGCACACTGCCTTGTATTCGTCCTCTACGTTGCCATAACACTGGTCCAGGATGCGAGTTGAGCGAGTTGGACAGGTGACGTACTGTTGCAGAGTGGGGAGGTGCGCGGAGAGGGAGAGCGTATTAAAATCCCCAAGCACAAATACTGGCTGGTCAGCTGATCGTGAAAGCGCAGCCTTGAAACAGTCTGTAATCCTGTCAGCAGCTTCCTTATTGTTAGGTCCAGGCACATAGACCAGAATAATGGTAATCCAGTCCAAACTTGCGTGGTAGATAGAATGGCCTGAATTATACAATGAGAATCTCATAGTCTCTGGTGCACACTTGTTCAATCACATTACACTGCATGGCCCAAGTATTATCTACAAAGCTACATAGCCACCTGCCTATTAATTTATGTGATGTTGTTTTGTCTCGATCTGCTCTAATAACAGTGTATCCATCAATGTTCACATCAATATTGTCCTGCTTGAGCCATGTTTCTGTAAAGCAGATTCAATTACTTCTCCTAAAGTCCTCTTCAAATGTAGCCCTTGCCGCTAACTCATTCAGTTTATTATTTAGTGACCGCACATTTGACAGGGTGATCACCGGGAGCGGGTGACGGCTTCCTCGCCTCCGTAGTCTGTTCCTAACACCACCTCTTGAGCCTCGCTTCTTCTTAGTTTCACTTTTTGACTTTGTAGAACAACCTTCTGGCAAGGCAATGCTGTTTTCGAGAGTGTGAGCTTTATTTCGGAAAGAGAGCAGAAACTCACGGGAGTAGGTGATGGCAGTTGATTTACTCACTGACCATACAACCTCCGGTAGTGATTGTAAAGTTGTTCACATATTACAGCTATTAGGATTAAGGTCACACTAACCATGTACAATCCACTTTCAAACTTGCGACGCACTTGGACTTAGACAAAACGGAACAAAATTGAGTGATATACTATAAACAAACAAACAATTAATGCAGGCGAGCTCAGGGTCTGGCAGCAGTGCCTTCTGTACCTGTGTGTAGTTCTCTGGCCTGGTGAGCAGGGGGAGTTCGTAGGCAGAAGAGAAGTGAGTTCTGACTTGCTGCATCTGAACAAACCTCTCCCTCTTCCTCCACTTGGCACGCCGGTTCTGGAACCACACCTGTAGAGAAGAAGAGGAGGATACATCAGAAACATCACTCTTAGAAAACAGGGGCTAACTAGAACCGTAAAGGGTTCTTTGTCTGTCCCTGTAAAATAACCCATTTTGGTTCTTGGTAGAACCCTTTTGGGTTCCAGGTAGAATGCTTTTTGGTTCCAAGTAGATGGTCATATGAACTACACGTTGTGATCTAAACTGACTGCATTGTGATCTAAACCTAGAAACACCCACCCACCTTGTCAAACATTTGTGGTCATACCTTCCTGTGTGGTGTCCGGTATACAACAGGAGTTCCCTGAGCCTACTGTATACAAGAGAAAGTGTACTGTTCCCTATTTAATTTATGTAATAACTCCATTATTATGCAATTATAAAGCAATTTCCAAAGTCCTATGCAACAACAATGTTGCTATTGTCATAATGAAAGTTACTACAGATGTATAAGAACTTGATGTCAAGTGTTACTGTATGTCTCACTCATTATGAAAATAGATTTGATAGTAATCTCCCGAGTGGCGCAGTGGTCTAAGGCACTGCATCGCTGTGCCACTAGAGATCCTGGTTCGAATCCAGGCTCTGTCGTAGCAGGCCGCGACCGGGAGAACCATGGGGCGGCGCACAATTGGCCCAGGGTAGGGGAGGGAATGGCCGGCAGGGATGTAGCTCAGTTGGTAGAGCATGGGTTGTGGGTTCGATTCCCACGGGGGGTCAGTATGAAAAATATTAAAAATAATGTATGCACTCACTAACTGTAAGTCGCTTTGGATAAGAGCGTCTGCTAAATGACTAAAATGTAATTTTGAAGCTGCAAAAGTGGTCTACTCTAATGTTGAGGTGATTCCATGTCCCGCATGTATTTCATTCTAGACTATAGGCTAAATTAAGATTCATATCTAGGAGCCCTACAGACCATGTGCTTATGATCAAATATTTACTGTAGATTAATTTAACTAACTGTTGTGGTTTTTGGTTCTTCATCAAATATTTGGCAGCCATCAAATACATATTATTGGTGTTTTCAAATAACTTAAAATATTATTTGTTTTTCTGAGAGGTATTCAAAATACTTTCAAATATTATTTGTATTTCTGTGACTTGTATTTGAATATCAAAGGAAATAGTTGACTTTTAGTTGAAACTATATTCGACTACCTATATTCTTTGAGAAGTTGGTATTTTCAAATAAACTACAAAAATAAAAATAAATCTGCCCAGGTCTGTCCTAAAATATTGTTTGCTCTTTATCTTTTTTTCCCTCCTCTTTCTCTCATCTTCTGTTCTGTACTGCATTTCCGTGTCTGTCTAGTCCAAAAAGTTATCTCTTAGTTTAGATGTGCAGTTAGTTAAGATTTTTGCAACTTCTGGAAAAATCATGGAGAAGAATAGTGGAGAGAGAAAGCAAGAGAGGAAGATACTGGAGAGAGGAAGTGAGAAGAGCAGACCAGAGGAGGTAGACTGGGCCTCTCTCTGTTTAGATGTATTTATTCATTGTCTCAGTCTTATCCTTTGAGGGGAAGGAGAGATTTCTTCAAAGAGGGAGGCCAATCTAGAGCCGGCACAGGGTTTGAACTTGGATTATGGGATGGATATGACCCAAACCAATCAGCATGCGGTTTCACAGCCATTTACGTGCAATTTCCCTTTGGCCCATCTCTCTCGCTCTCTCACACACACACACACACACACACACACACACACACACACATTTATATTTCCACCAAAAATGTTAACAACAGTACTACACTGTTGGGGAAAGGAGTTGAATGAGAGTAGGCCTACAGCAGGATGGGTGTTGTAACACAATATTGAGTAATCTAGAATTGAAAAGGATTGTTTTCCAACGTGATGAGGCCAAAGGGGTGTATGGGCTAGCAACTAAAAAACACACTCAAACACATGCCATCACTTTGACAAGGCAAACTAGTTACACGTTTGAAGAAAGGACCTTATATGGCTGCTGTTTAAAGACAACCCAATCAGCATGCGGTTTCACAGCCATTTAAGTGCAATTTCCCTTCAGCCCATCTCTCTCTCTCTCGATCTCTCTCTTTCTCTGTCGCTGGATCTCTCTATCTATCTCAGTCTTACTCGCTTACACACTCACACACATTTATATTTCCACTAAGAAGTGTAATCATTAACAGTAGTACACAGACAGTATCTCTAGCTTAAATTGACACATTTTGATTTTTATTATGCTAATTAGATTCCCACGGGGGGCGCGGACATCAACCTTAGGGGGTTTAAAATGTATACAGTTTAGATTTTTTTATCACTGGCCTACACACAATACCCCATAATGTCAAAGTGGAATTATGTTTGGATTTTGTTTTACAAATCAATTCAAAACGAAAAAGCTGTAATGTCTTGAGTCATTAAGTAGTCAACCCCTTTGTTATGGCAAGGCTAAATAATTTCTGGAGTAAACATTTGCTTAACAAGTCACATAATAAGTTGCATGGACTCACTCTGTGTGCAATAATAGTGTTTAACATGATTTTTGAATGACTACCTCATCTCTGTACCCCATACAGTGCAGTGAATTTCAAACACAGATTCAACTACAAAGACCAGGGAGGTTTTCCAATGCCTCGCAAAAGAAGGGCACCTATTGGTAGATGGGTAAATAAAAAAGCAGACATTGAATATCCCTTTGAGCATGGTGAAGTTATTAATGACACTTTGGATGGTGTATCAATACACCCAGTCACTACAAAGATACAGCCATCCTTCCTAGCTCAGTTGCCGGAGAGGAAGGAAACTGCTCAGGGATTTCACCATGGTGACTTTAAAACAGTTAGAGTTTAATGGCTATGATAGGAGTAAACTGAAGATGGATCAACAACATTCTAGTAGCTCCACAATACTAATCTAATTGAAAAGTGAAAAGAAAGAAGCCTGTACAGAATAAAAAATATTCCAAACATGCTTCCAGTTTGAAACAAGGCACAAAATGTGGCAAAGCAATCACCTTTTTGTCCTGAATACAAAGTGTTATGTTTGGGGCATATCCAATACAAAACATTACTGAGTACCACTCTCCATATTTTCAAGCATAGTGGTGGCTGCATCATGTTATGGGTATGCTTGTAATCGTTAAAGACGTAAAAATAGTTTTTCAGGATAAAAAATAAATGGAATAGAGCTAAGCACAGGCAATATCCTAAAGGAAAACCTGGTTCAGTCTGCTTTCCACCAGACACTGGGAGATTAATTCACCTTTCAGCAGGACAATAACCTAAAACACAAGGCCAAATCTACACTGGAGTTGCTTACCATGAAGACAGTGAATGTTTCACTTTGTCATTATGGGGTATTGTGTGTAGATGGGTGAGCTATTTTATATTTATTTAATCCATTTTGAATTCAGGCTGTAACACAACAAAATGTGGAATAAGTCAAGGGGTATGAAAACTTTCTGAAGTAGCATATAGCCTGTCAAGTTATTCCTTTGGTTATTTTGTGTCCTAGTTCATCAAAGTACTATTACGTTTTCTCATGGGACTCTGATTACAAAGGGTTCTCCAGATGATTGACTAGTGCAGAATCTACTGACCAAAACAAAGAGAGATTAAAATCGGAGGACCTCAGCTCAATACAATACAACCGAGGAGGACGAACGAGACAGTACTAGCTTTCCCCCTCTCGGTTACACTGCTGGTCTACACACACACACACACACACACACACTCTCTCTCTCTGTCTCGCTCTCTTTCTCACTTTTTCTCTCTCTTTCTCTAATTCAAGCTCTACCTCCCCCCACCCGTCCCTCTGTCTCTCTCTCCTCCCTTTTAATTTGGTGTGGGGATATTGGAAAGTGAGATGGGAGAATGTTCAAACTGGAGCTTGTTTTCATTTCATGTTTAATTTCCTGACGCATAAGCCCTTGGCTTTCCTCAGCTAACCCCCTTGACCTTTCTAGAGGCTCACAGACTAGAGCAGTGGACTGACTACACACGCGCGCACATACACACACACACACACTTTCATCCTCACACACTCACATAAACACATTTTCAAATCTAAAACAGAAACATAGGCACCCTCCTAAAACAGGCCAACAAATACATTCACATTCTCTAACTAACCATTCACATACACATTACCTACAATGGACCCATGTATCACAGAGGGTTTTGCTTTGCTCTCTACAGCGTGTGTGTTTTTGTGTATGTCTGTGCATGCGTGAGAGTGTGTGTGTGTGTGCGTGCGGGTGCTGCTCTCTTCAGTGCACTCCTTTGAACCGCAGTAGGAACAGAGACTTGGGGCTAAATAGTTGTGAGGAGAGATCATTCAGGGAACCTTGTCTCCTATTTCCAAAGCAGGAATCACATCACAGCCAAGCAGCAACCCCTCTCAGCTCAGCTAGCATAATCAGGAATAGCATAACAGAAACAGCTGTCTGCAAAGAAGGTTTACTATAAGCACCATAACATTACCTCACCTATATGGGACAACTCACTTCAAGGTAGCACAAATTAATTAGAAAAGTATCCTTACGGAGAACTCTGGGATAGCTATCTATAAAATATTAGTCCAGTTCTAATATTTACTGTATTGTATGGCTTCTTCATGATCCCATTCTGAGTTCTCTACCTCACCTGCATATATATTATGTTACATTTTATGTTGTAGTTTATTTAAACTGTGTGCAAATAAATGCAATTTAATAGAGTAATAAAACAATGAAAACTAAAATATTAAACGAGAGAGAGAGAGAGAGAGAGAGAGAGAGAGAGAGAGAGCTTTGAGGTCTAGCCTTCTCACTTCATCTCCGTCACACAGGACATAACCATGGAGATTGAAAGACTGCCTTAGCGGTCATTCAGATGCACCCCATTCCCTCCCTCCCTCCCTCCCTCCCTCCTTAAACCCAGTAAAGTTCAAGTATGAGTCAAGAGTACTAATTACACAAAGTAAACAAGGAGACTGTGACAATAGCTAAC